ATCCTGTGTTGTATTCTGGTGATGACTGAGGCGACCGAGACTCAGTAGTTGTTGTTGCGGCGGTATTGAATCCTGTGTTGTATTCTGGTGGAGACTGAGAGGGGTACCCAACAATTGCCGTAGTGGTATTAAAACTCCAGAAGTTTCCAAATATCCAGTGGTTCCCTTCCCCAGTATTCTTTCTTCCAACTTTTTAAACTTCACAGGGTCTTCTTCTCTGAATAATTAAAAAATTAACACGACTTTTTTTATGGGGGTATTTGTTTTTTTTTTTTCTTAAGATTTGATAAAGTAATAATAGCTATTATTTATATGGCAAAATAAATTCAAAAGTTGGAAATTTATTTCGCTTGTATTATATGTACTATAGTATATCAATAAAAATAAAAATAATTGTAAAAATGAAAACACACACACACACACACACACAAATAACCATATGTTACCTTAAATTGGTGATGATGATATCTTCCTTATCCGTTCTCTTTTGTTGCTCTAGTCTTCTGCAGATAAATCAAAACTCAAAATGCTACGTTAAAACCTAGTTGAAATTTAAGGTAGTACATGTAGTAAGTCTCAAAACGAAATGTTTGAATATGGTATGACATATAAACAATTACGCGTTAACATATATTAAATAATTGTTAAAGAAATTCATAAAAGTAAAACATACTTTTGGTTTAAAATGTAGGAGTCCTCCGACTCAGTTAACTTTCTTTTTCGAGAGCGGGATTGGCTAGTGGCATTTTCTTCTTCTTTAGGAGAATTTCTATATCAATATCAATCTTTAGTTTTATATAAAAAAGTGTGGTTTTCGTATACATGTAATTGTATAAAATACTTGTAACTTATTTCAAATAGTAATATATCAGTCTGGGAATTCATGGCTAGCCATAAACTTTAGAAGTCGGGGATAACCGTAACCTTCCTTATTTTACATATATCCCAAATAAACATTGGAATTTTTACTCCTGGATTATCGCCCTTTCTAATTCCGGGGAAATCATGGCTTCTTTCACCGAGTTCTGTTTTAATTTTAGTACCGTAATGCGGTGTTACGGTTTAAAATGGAGGATCAACATGCGACCAGCTCGCTTGCAAATGGTAAGTTTATCGGCGAATTGTGTGTTAACAGGGTTAGATATTTTTTTTATAGACACTATAAATCTTTAGTAATTGTAGAGCACAAAACGCTTTTTAAAAAATCAACGCTTTTATTTTAAGAAATTACGCTTTTCAAAAGAGGCAATTTTACACAAAATTTGATGTTAAAGATGAAAATTCAGAGATATTTCCTAAGCATATTTGTTTCGTGGATTGTGCTGTATTTTACCGTTGCCGTTCAGCAGTGAAAAAAAATGAAGCATTCTCCAGAGATCTTTTTCCAGTTCATTTCGAAATGCATTCAGATAATTGTAAAGTTTGCAATTTGATGACAGGTGATCAAATTTCCCATTCAATTTCAAAAGATGGTGCAAAATGGACTCCACCGGGATGAGGTAAGCGATGTGCCACATACTTGAGCCCACCAATAACAAAAAAGCAAAGAACAAATGAAAATAAAATTTGGGACATGTTTAAATCAGTCCCAAGAATCAAGGAATCAGCATTAAATTCTTTTGCAAAAATTTTTACACATCAAGAAAAATTGTGGTTAATAAATTCTATCTTTGAGGAGGAAAGAAATTCCATTAATATGGATACTGCACAAATTCAAGACAGGTATGATTCCATATCGAATGTGAATGAACTGGATGTGAAGGCCTATTTAAAAGAGCAAAATTCTATTTTAGTGCAAACACTCTTGCAAGTTACTCAAGCCTCGATAGACGAAGACTTCTACAGGTTAGCAGTTTTGTTGGAAAGTATTTACAAATTAAGAAATGCAAATTTCATTGGCCGAGTCAGTACACTCCAGAACTTGATTTTGTTATCAATAACAAACAGCAAATCTGCAATTCATATTTGTGGAAGTTCTGGGGCAGGAGGAAAGTATACAACTCTATGTAAATGGCTTGGAAACATACCATCCGAACCCAAGAAAGTTCCCAACGGAGACATTTTCTTCGCATTTGACAATAAGCAAGTCATTGGGAACAATAAAATTAAAACGTCAATTATAACAACAGTTGCAGCTTTTGAACTGCAAAGTGAAAGAATGCTGCAATCTGATTACGAGTTACACCCATCATCATGGTTCACTCAAAAGAGAGTTAGTAATGTTGCAGACAAAGTACATTTAGAAGAAGATGAACTCTATAATACTTTCAGAAAGGAACATTTCAACCAGTTCAAACTATTTGTTAATGCTGCTATACAACAAATATTGGATGAGTCAACTGATAATGACAAGGATATAATAGATAAAATTATTGCACACTGTAAACAAAAACGAGACTTAAAAACATGCCCAGCATGTAAAACTTTTTTCCCAAAAACAAAAAGAAAATGCCCTCACTGCAAGACAGATTTAACGAAGCTACCGGATTTGACTCCTAGCACCCACACTGACAACAATTCAGAACGTGTGGAAATATCTCCTTTGTTAAAGCAGAAGTCAATGACAAAAGATGGGGGTGAAGAAAGAGACAACTTTCGTTATGATCATGTAAAACATTTTCATCAAGGAGGACCCTAAAAAAAGTCTCTGTCATGGTTCCTGTTTTGTGAATCCAAATTCAGTTGAAAATTTGAAGTTAGTTCTTCGACATTTAGGAGCACTTGCTGGCATAAAGCGATATGGAGGTGAAGAGAGAGAGACTGGGTAATTATTTGCTGTGATGGACTTCCATACACAATGGTACGTAGAATGATAGAAGAATACTTCACTTGTGCCATTTGCAGTAAAGGGTTTTTAGGCAAAGAAGCATTTGAATTACATAAAAAAGAACACCCCAATATTGAAGATGTTAAATTTGTAAGAGAATTTGATTGGATAATTCTTAAAATGGGTGATGGGCAGTATGAAATGAACTTAATGAAAGCCTTTGTAGAATTAAATTGGGATGTTTTCATGAAACCTCTGGAGAATAGAATGGGTTGGACATCAGAGGCTGCCATGAAAGCTGCAAAGATGTGTTACGACAATCACAAGACATGGCAGTTGATTTTAACATTCCACCTAGGTACATTACTAGAACTTGTCTTGCCATATGTAAGAAAATGCCAGAACAATGATGGAGATGAATCCGTGACCCCTACTATCACTGTTTTTTTTGCAGTTTGCTAAAACAATGGAAAACAACCCAAATTACATGTATATGTTTGAAATGGTTTCTCGTTACAGCCAAGCCATCATTAATTTTCGAATGGGAATAAGAAGGAAAAATTCAAATTTAGTACATTCTGCAAAATTTATGTCAAAAGGGCTTCTTCATGGTAGAGTACATCCCAGGTACCAGCAAATAGAGATGTTAGATTCAGTTCATAGATTTTTTACTACCAGAAAAAATGCATTCTTTTTTAAATGAGAACGAGTCAATTTCAAAAACAGGTGACATTTCAAAGGGACAAGGCTTTGACTTTATTTTCGAGGAAATTAACAGAGACAAAAAATCTTGTATAAGACGTGGGGTAGCTTCTGACAACATGTGGCTTGGTGTTTGTAGAAATTTTTAATCCCCTGATCCATCGCCATCCAAAATTCCACAGCTTGCAAGAGACTTGCTCCCTGGACAGAAACAGCGACAGTCGCTTGAAAACTTGGCCATTCAGACGTCTGACAGTAAGTCAGAATATATTCCAATTCTATCCTCCTCAAAAAAGAAAAAGGTAAATGTTACACTTCAAGACGGAAAAAAACTCGGACACAAAAAAAGGAAAAGGTAAGGGGAAAAGTAAAAAAAAGAATGAAGAATGATAAAAGTTTCCTGCAAAAATTTTTAACATGATTTATTAAAGACAGATGATACAAAAGAATACATTGATTGGTATATAAGTTAGAATGTTTAAGGGCCTATATTGTTTGTTTTTGATGCAAAAATCCAATTTTCAATTTTTGAAATATTACGATACTGTTTACTTTCTATGATATTCACAATTCTACCTTTCTGCCATCATCCTTGTACATATAAATTTTATCAACTTCTTAATCACTTTACAGAACAAAAATGTGTTCAATATAAGAAAAATTGAAATCTGTGTGTTTCAACTTCCTTATACAAGTGTTACTTTGGTCAGTAAGTTATTACTTTCAGGAATTTATCTTTTAAATTTCACCACCAAGAAGATCATGACCTTATTTTCTTTCAAATGAAAATATTAAAACAGTTTTGTGTATATATGCATATGCAACACAAAAAATATTAAAGGTTTAGTTTTAAATATCAGAGTACCTCATTCAGTGGATGTGATGTGTTGCAAGTTAATTTCTGTTTGATCTTCAAAACTCAGGTTAACTCAAATTGTATAGAGAAAAGTAAATTTTTTAAAAAATTTTCGTACTATGTAACTGCATTTTGAAACAATTAGCTTTAGCATGTTTTAGATATATAGATATATGTTTACAATTTTTTTTTTTTACATTTTGATGTACATCTTATTTTCATTCCCAGCTCATGGTTGTGTCCTGTACCGGTGTGTGTTTTATTGTACACATTTTTTCTATCAACAGCTCATGGTTGTGTCCTATACTGGTGTATTTTTTATTTTAAACATTTTTTTTTCATTCTCAGCACATGGTTATGCCCTATACAAGTGTATGTTTTATTGTACATAATTTTTCCATCCTCAGCACATGGTTGTGTCCTATACCGGTGTGTGTTTTATTGTACACATTTTTTCTATCAACAGCTCATGTTTGTGTCCTATACTGGTGTACTTTTTATTGTAAACATTTTTTTTCCATTCTCAGCACATGGTTGTGCCCTATACAAGTGTATGTTTTATTGTACATAATTTTTCCATCCTCAGCTCAGGGTTGTGTCCTATGCCGGTACAAGTTTTAATGTACAATGTGTTTTTATTAAAGCATTTATATAAACTCCTTGTGTTTCTCATTTTTAAGCATAAAGTCTGTGATTAAGTTCAACCAGTGGAAGACACTCCTCTAATATATGCATTGCAGCCTCAAAATGTTGTCTTTTTATATAAATAACATAGAAACATTTCAGTTCTGCACCACCCCCAGGTAGGTCATGCCTCTCATTTCCTCTTCTTCTTCTGTATTGTTGGTGAAGATGAGGTCTTGTTGACTGTATAACTTCTCCGGAACATTTACACACAATTGATGTTGCATATTCCCTCTCTAACATCAGGCGAAATGCCCGACAAAGGTTTGCTGGGCACCTCCCTATCTGTTTTCCTAAAGTAAACACAGTCATGTCTTATACAGCAGTCTTATACAATAATGTTGTGTATGTGAAAATACATTTATAAAAATAACAGTGTTTTAGTGAAATTCATCTTTTAAAATATACAATAGTTCTTACCTGCTATATGTCTCACCCTCTGTAGATGGTTATCCTGAGTAACTGCATTCTGCAGATGTTGAGGAATGTGCTGAAGTGTTGGAAAACAAACTTTCATGGCATTTGGATCATATGGGTTATCCTCTAATTCTACATTCAAGTATATCTCAGGATGGGGCCTAATTCTAAACGCATGATAACCCTTAATACTCCAGTAAAACTTTACAGGTCTGATAGGACAGACCCTGGAATTATTACCTCTCATAATTGTATCATACTCTGACATAGAGGCCATGCTCCAATACTTTAACTAGATGAATGACTAAGTTATGGATAATCAAAACCTATCTACTGATAAAAGTTATGGTCAATCATAATAAAACTTGGTTTTGGATACCCATAACTTTTGAAAAAATGAAAGTTGAGGTAACCCATAACTTTTTGAAGGTTATGGCTAGCCATGAATTCCCAGACTGTATATCTCTTATTACAAAAAATATTGTAATTTTATTTTTGTAGAATTTATACTCAATTTTCCTAGCATTCAACATACCCTGTTTGAAATACATGAACACAGAGTTCTTCTCCTAGCGCAACCCATTCATCTTCGAAATCTTAAACGTTCTAGCCTTTTTCTGATCCCTTTTTAAAAAATTAATATAACCTGAACATCTTTTTAAACCCAACATTAATGTTTAAAAAGTATAATAAAGTACAATGTATTATCAAAGATGATCCCACAGATCGAAATTTTTAAAATTAAATTTAATTTTACGCTTTATTATTTTCACATTTAAGATACATACACTGTATAAATTTTAAAATTAAAATAGAAAATATAAACTTACATCATGTCCAGATACTTTTATGCCATTATGTCGGATTGTCCTAAGTTTAACGGTAATTATTCGACTGATGGTAGAGTGAAGGAAACCGCTCTTATTTAAGATGTTCGCTCTTGGGTGCGTATCTAATTCGTGATTTCACAAATCAGGACGAGACATTCTTGAAAAAATCTTGACGAGTTTAAATAAGCTATTGGAGGACGAGGAAACACTATCGGATAAAGCTCTTGGTTATAATGTGGTCAGTTATATTACATTGGATGTATGTATTTTGATATCAGTTTGTATTTTGTTATTCAATAGGAAATCATTCTGACCGTAAGAAGCCTAATGAAAAAATGAATCATATCTATAAGCCAAATAATAATAGGCAAAATTTCCAGTTTGATTTGGAAAACGAAGAAGAAGAAGATATAATATATTGACTACCTAAAATTTAATAAGTATATTAATAATTATACTTCAGTTAATTTTTTATAGGGTTTTTGATGGGCAGTCGCAACTACCTTTACGGTAGTAATACTGCTATTCAAAAAATGGTTAAAGAAAAAGTGTGAGAACGTTGTGAAAGACGATGATGATGATGATTCTGCACCCCCCAAAACCGATGATGATCCCTCTTCCTCCACAACCGATGATCCCACCCCCTCCACTATTCATGTTGTTCCCTCCACCCCCACCACCATCCACGATGATGATGAGGATGATCAGGCTACACCCACCACTATTAATGATGATGGCACTTACCCACCCCTTAGAACAAGTACCCCTCCATCCCCTAACGTTAACAAAAGCTAAAGACCACTTATCACGCCCCTGTCCTCCATCGCAACCACCTCAGATGTTGATGAATATGTAGCTCAACGTAGTAGGTCAAAGCGGCAGTTGAAATTTTAGGCCTAATAACGAAAGTAAAAATTAACATGTAAATAATAATCGTTTTATGTTTGACTTTTTACAACATTGAGATTCGGTTTTTAATTAATAATCTTTATACAATATTGAGATTCAGTTTTTAAATAACCGTCTGATACATTGAAATTTAGTTGTTTTATTCTAGAGGGGGTATAGATCAAGCACGGAGCGAGCGCTCTACCGACTGAGCTACCGTGAACGGTCCAGGAGCATAGGAGAAAATTTTCAAAGAATTATTGCATTTTTGCTGTATGATCATTAGAGCCCCGCCCTAACACAAGAACTCCTGAAGTTCACAATTTTTGAAAGGCCTTCCTTGCTCATTTAAACTATGCATTTAGTTTGTTTGCTTATTATCCAGGAGCAGAGGAGAATTTTTAAGAAAAAGAAATAATGCATTTTTACTATACATTCAAAAAAAGCCCCGCCCTAGTACCTGACCCTGGGGGCATGAATTTCAGTTTTGGTACCGGGCTCAATGGTTATTACAATCATGCCAAAAGTTTAACTGCTTGATGTCCACAAGTTTACAGATTACATTAATTTCTGTGGGTTTAGCCCCACCCCTCAGGCCCCAGGGGTCAGGGATAATAAAATTCACAGTTTTGTTCCCCTTCACTTAGAGATTATTATACGCTCGTTATTTTTACCGACTAGCTAAGAAAAAGTTTAATTCACGAAATGCTGACTAAATTATACAATACAAGGATTCTGTTTCACAATTAAAGGTCATCATGAGGAATAATACACAAAACTAAGAGAGGGCTGTGACAAAGGATCTTCTGCTGACATTGATACATGAATGTGACCTACAAGGCAGCAGTATAATACATGCATCACAGCTATGTTAAGGCTTCCCCAAGCTTTAAAATGCGCTCAATACATAATATGTCATTGCGAGGTCGGTTTTAGTTTTAATTTATAAGTATTGAACTTAAGTACTCCCAGTTTATATAGAGGGTTTCCTCGCCTATATATTAACATATTCGTTACGATATCACATGACTTTGTTGATCACGTGACGATCTTTTATAATTTTTTGAAGTGTTCCATATAAATCGCTTCGGCGCAGCTGGTAAGCACAATAATTAACACTTTGTTATATAGATAAACTCATCGTATCCTTGTGTATCCGAAATGTGCTTGGGAAAAGTCATAGTATTACTTAGATACAAAATATTTCCTGAGAAATTCAACTTACCTACAAATTTAAAGGTCATATGAAACAATGCCCTGAGCATTTTGGGTTGTATACGGAAATGAGTTCATCTGAGCAACTTTAATAAGCCTGAAATTACATTTTGGATTTTTTTATGCAAGTTAGCGGCAGCAGAGTCGATCAAAATTACTTGACTGCGAAAATGAACTTCAACTAGCGCGGCTTATTTCCCTTTGCTTATGACGTCAGTAAGACCCACTCGCTACATTCAGTACTAACATTTATACAACCGATCATGTCTTTTGCAGCGTAATTTTTAAGAAATATCATCATCTTGGCTAAAATATCGCATAAATATACGATGTTCACACAAGATAGTATTTGTCTTTTAACATACTATTGCATATTTGCAAGATTTTAGCTTGTTTTATCTTTGTAATTTATTGTCGTCCTTCGACACTTCAATCGAGAGAGAGAGGGGGGGGGGGAGTCTGTACTAGAGTAAGTGAATATAGACGCTGTCAAATAATTTACAATTGAATAAATTTCTAACACAAGAATATTGATGATTTGTTTTCTGATTAAAATTTATAAGTAAAGCTGAGCTCGATTGACCGCGGTGTGTGAAAGTGAAACTAAACCTGCAAATAAATTATTTCATCTATTCATTGGAAATGAAATGATTCTATCGCTTTCTCCCTTTCTCTCAATCGCTTTCCCTTTTCTCTCTTTGGCTTTCCCTGTCTCGATGACTCTCTCTCTCTCTTCCCGTATATTTTTCTTACCAAAAAGTCAGTACATGTATACACATAACACTGTAACTATATTTAATATCGTAATAATTTTTAAAAAGTCAGACATCAAACACAATTCTATCTATGCAATTCTACTTTTCTGTGTGAATATATTTACAGACCGAATTGTTTAAATTTGTATCAGATTATTTCAACACAGAGTATATAGTCTGATATAAAAAAATGTTTAACTGTAAAAATATTATTTTTAAAAATTGTTCAGGTTCAATCGCGCAAATAATGGGGGGTATGGATTTTTTTAAATGATCAATTTATGCACGAACTGTATGACTATTTTCAAACTGCAATTGCTCAGTCAAACTGTTAGAAGTATCAGTACCGTAACATTACTGTGCATGTATATACATGTACATGTATACATGTAAGTGTACATACTCGCGATCGTGATGCCGGTAATTTTGCGCCATTTTTTTAAAAAAATCATGTTTCTTGTGACAGCAAAATTACGATGACGTCGTCATAAACCCCTATTTCTATATCGTTTTACATTTGTCCTCGTGTTTCAGATTGCAGAAAGCGTGCATTCAAATACGCCGACTTTTCATTGATCCATGTTCATCATGAACTTCAATATCCCCGTGTTTATTTGGGAATAAGGGGTACCCTTGAGCTGGATATTTTCCCCTCTCAATATATGACACAACTTTATTTTACAGATTTTGCATGCCCATTAAAGTTTTTATTGTAAGAAGCTTCAGGTCAATGTTAATTGATTACGCTGTTTTTTGTTGTTAATTATACACTTTCACTAGGAATGAAAAAAACATCATGAATAATATAGAAATAAGAAGATTTTTGTTTCTAAAGTACTAATTTAAAACAAGTAATCATTGTTGGAGGAGAAAAATCTTGATTTCAACGGAATATTCATCAGGATCATCCTACGATGAAAAGCTCTCGTTTTCAGTTGTTGGCCTAATTAACGATTAGTTTAAATAGAGTAAATTGTACTTTAGAATCAGATAGCTCATCTAAAAAAATAATCACATTTATATCCCCAAAAAATGACTAAAATTAACTCAATAAAATACGGTAAAATTACACTGTATCTAATGCGTTATTTACATCAGTGGGTCTTTGTGACGTCATAAAAACACAAAATCAAGAACGATAAGCGGGTAACAAATTTATTAAGTGGACAAATTTAGGCCTCCATTTTTCAGTTAAGCAAAGGCCAAAAAATTTATACTAAACGTAATTTGACATTCTTTCATACAAGTCTTTATGTTTAAAAAGTAAAATCCTACTGTTTTGAACCGTTTCATATGACCTTTAAGGGTATTTTCCACACAATATCGTAATCTGTATTAAAACAAAGCCAACACACATTTTTCCCAAGCAAGATTCAGTTAGAGAACAACCTCTTCTTACAGATTTCCACAAAAATTCTCAGACTAATCCTCATTAATCACCTGCGCCAGACTCTTTTTATACACACAAAATAAATTTTACCTCTAATTGCAGAAGTACATTTTTCGTAAGCATTTTGAACATCCTGAATTTCAATCAAGATTAGGTAAGCGGTGTATTTTTAAAATATTCGGACATATAAGATTTAAAA